CATTAATGTCACTATACACCAGGTAGCATATTAATAAAACGGCAATCCGCATACGCGTATGGATGAGTCTGTGACGAGGAGGGAGGGGGTGGTGCTCGCGATCCAGTCTGTGCGATATTTTGGTTATTTGTAGCATGACCATCATAGGAGGGGGCAGGGGGTTGTGCTCGCAGTCCAGTCTGTGAGATATTTTGGCCATTGGTAGCATATGGCAATCATAGGAGGGGGTAGGGTGTGGTGTTCGTCCTAGGGATTGTGTCAGCGGGACTGGTGGTAGGGGGTGGGTTTGCCTTGTGTTGTTTGCCACTATGGCTACGTTTTCGTCATCCCATTCTGCACCATTTTGTGTCTCACGCCGGGATTTCGTTCTACAAACGATCGTATAACAAATACCCCAGTATAAGGACGATGATAGCTAACAGTGTTATAAATACAATCGCATAAGGTGGAAAGGGAGCCGTACTCGTACACGAATTCATTTTCTGGGTTGGTGCATTCTGGTCAGGGATTTGGTCTGGAGTTTGTTTTGGGATTTGCTCTGGTGTTTGTGTTGGGATTTGCTCTGGTGTTTGTTTTGGTTTTTGCTCTGGTGTTTTCTTGGTGGTTGTTGTTGAACTGGTTGATTTTGCACATACATTATCCGAGTCGCAATACTCTTTAGGACCCGTGCAATCACTATTCTCATCACATCTTTCTCCGACACAACTCCTTCGACAAACATTCCCTTGTGCTCGCATACAGCAATACTCTGAAACAGCGCAGTCAGAACTTGAATTACATCGCGGACAGTCCTGGGAATTAGTACATTTGTTATTCATACAGCATGCGCCTTCGCCACCACAATCCCCGTGTGTCAAACAGTATCGACCTTCGCAGTTGTAAGGCTGACAATATCTGTCGACGTCACGAGCGTTTTTACAACACACGGTAGATTATTGTAGGAAATCATTATAACAGTCCGCATTTGTATAGATTCGTCTTTGGCCACAACCAGCTTGATGAGAAATAACACTATCATGCATGGTAAGAGCAAAATCAGGGATGTCCTCGACATTTTATGACAGACTGAACACGATGTACGTAGATAGAATAAAAATCTATATAAAAATGGTGCTTAAACCGCTTATATACACAGCAGTTTCACTTTGCTACAACATTGACAAATTTCGCATAAATTTTCTCCCATGACGTATCTTTTCAATGCAGGTACTGTTAGTTAACTGTGGGAGACCTGATTTATAGCAATTATGTACTATTTACTTAAAACACTATTTACTTAACACACATATGCTACCATTTAAACTTCTGCAGTTTTAATGTTGCTGAGCCACAATTATTTTCATTGCTTTTGGTTTTCTAAGCTTAATCCTTTAATCTGCATGCATGCTTTTACGTTATTTTCTATGGATCCTCTACATTTCTCAATTTGTTGTATGAATAATGTCTTACTATATTCACGAATATTCTAAGAACAAGGTGCTTTTATGGACCATATTTTATTTACTTTAAATTTTCCAATGCTAGATGATTTACTCATTGAATGGGAAAGTATTGGGAATTCATAAGGGAAGGTAAAACAGCGTATAATAACACAGACTGTCTTCTGAATATTTTATATAGTACTGTATTATGAAAATATGCAATCCATTACAGGTAATTTTTTTTCTTAGTGTATAATATAATTTTTTCATAGAGGTAATTTTTATCTTTATGACTAATTATACGGTATATAACTAGAGGTGATGGAACATCTATAAATATATGTGACGTGCTATAGGAGGTTGACTAGCAATGAGCTCTTCTATCACAGAGAATTCATACTGTATATGATGCATGCTTTCCATCCAGATGTCAAAGAAACATATTCCTTTCAATTGGAAAATACAGTCTTTACTGCCTTTGATTCTCTATACTCTCTATGGTGATGGTGATGACAATGGAAATCCAAGTGGAAGGGTCATCGGGTTATAAAAATGAAGCTACGCTGCCAGAAATGCTACTATATAGTGGAACGCACTGTTAACTTTTGTTTCTCTGTATATGGGTGTATTTGCGTTGTCGTGATTTTTTTTAATTACCTAGAAGGAAGCACAGTACTGTTTTGGAATAGAGCCCTATTGCCGCTGCCACTATTACAAAGCTAAATTTATTCTTATATGGAATAATTATGTTGTTTTTGCGATATAGGTCCAATTTTTTTACATATCTTTCCAAAAATGCAGGAAATATTTTTATGATTTTGGTGCGCCCAGAACGCAGGAAATCGCATTTCCGAGGTCCTAGATTTCAAAATTTCCTGGGGAGGATTCCCCCGGACCCTCCTAGAAATTCGAGGTCTTGTGCATCAATAAGCCTGCCGGTTGGATTCGTCGCCAGCCAGATGAATATTAAAATTGGCTTGGACATTACGATTCGCCATACGTTGTGCATGTTGTGAGGTATTAAGGTCATTGGCTGCATGGCCATCATAGGAGGAATTAGAGCGTTGTGTTGCCAATCCTGTACTTGCTGCATCCGGTTGTGTGTGAGGGAGTGTTTGTGGGGGACGTGTACTAATTTGTCCTGTGTTTTCCACTTGGGCTGCCTCGAATACTCCTTGATCGTTTTGCACCTCACGTCGTGATTTCATTTTACGAATACGATACCACAAATAACATAGTATAGCGCCGAAAATAGCAAGCACTATTCCAGTAACGATAAATCCAATCACCCAGCCGGGAAGAGTTGATGTAGTGGTTTGCTTTGGGGAATGCTCTGAGGTTTTTGTTGAACTGGTTGATTTTGCACATACATTATTCGAGTCGCAATACTCCTTAGGACCCGTGCAATCACTATTCTCATCACATCTTTCTCCGACACAACTTCTTCGACAAACATTCCCTTGTCCTCGCATACAGCAATACTCGGAAACAGCACAGTCAGAACTCGAATTACATCGCGGACAGTCCTGGGAATTAGTACATTTGTTATTCATACAGCATGCTCCTTCGCCACCACAATCCCCATGTGTCAAACAGTATCGACCTTCGCAGTTGTAAGGCTGACAATATCTGTCGACGTCACGAGCGTCTTTACAACACACGATACGTAATTGTTTGAAATTATTATAACAGTCTGCATTTGTATAGCATTCGTCTTTGGCCACAACCAGCTTTATGAGAAATAACACAATCCAAGTTGAATGCAAAATCAGGGATGTCCACGACATTTTATGACAGAATGAAGACGATGTACGTAGATAACGTAGATATAATAAAAGTCTGTATAAAAATGGTGCTTACACAGCAGTTTCATGCACTTTGCTACAACGTTGACAAATTTTCGTCCCACGTATTCTTTTCAATGCAAGTATTGTAGTTAACTGTGCGAGACCTGATTTAGCAATTAATATTTACATAATTGTGAACCTCTGTGCTTTTAATATATTGCTGAGCCACAATGATTAGTTCTCATTGCTTTCGGTTTTCGACGCTCAATACACTCTTTCGATAATGACGTCACAACTACATTGTTTTCACCACCTTAAGAAAGGATTTCAAGTTTTTTCTCATGGGCTATGCACAGAGAAGCAGAATATCCTTCTTCAACATATATGCATGAAAAATAATTCTTTATTTTGATCAAAATCCAAAATTGTTTTTCATGCATGTGTTGAAGAAGGATATTCTGCTTCTCTGTGCATAGCCCATGAGAAAAAAACTTGAAATCCTTTCCATTTAAGGTGGTCCTAAATTGAAAACAGTGTAGTTGTGACGTAATTACCGAGTGTATTCTTCAATCTGCATTCCTGCTTTTACATTATAGTTTCTATGGATCCTCTCCATTTCTCAATTCGTTGTATGAATGCATCATGTGTCTTACCAGGCACTGAATGCTCGGTTAGTTGATTTAATTTAAATCAGTATGATTCGAATACCATATCTGATCGTTGGGATTTACATGCATTGTTTACTGTTTGAGCACATCCATCCCAGAATTCTTTATCTTTGGTTGTTGGCCATTTGTCGTTCCAGACGTCTTTCCAATACAGGCATATATACTGTATTAGTATACACAGGTTTCTTGTTTAGTTTCTGACACTGGTTTTTTATTCATGCTGGATGCAGAACTTTAAGAAGTTGTTTGGAAAAGGCTCTTCCTCGAACTACCTTCTGGTAATGCCAACTTGGGTTTGGGTCAACTTGGGTTTTTGCTTTCCTGGACTGTCGCCAGTTGACAGCTTGAAGCTCTGAGCTTGAACCGTCTCTTTGTAGCCATTTTGTTCCGGTGTCATTTACCTGTAAAATACCAAACACTCTTTTTGGAATTAATAATAAAAAACGTAATCAAAATGAGAGGAAATAAGAATAAAATAAATGCTAAACTTATTTATTTATTAACTTTACAATCATACAAAAAATATAACAATGATTGAAGGTATGGTCAACAGGACACGAGTCCCATGTAAAGACCAACCTGATACAATACAATAAGTAGACATACATTAAAGACAAGGACTAGAACACTATTTACATAGCTATATAAAAATTAATAGTTTAGATTATGAGCAACAGCTTAAGTTGAAAGAACGGCATTTAGAGCAGTAGGTTTTCCAAGTGCGCATTCTGTTAACATCGAAAGAAGAGTCTAATTGAGAAACTAATTCCTATGATTCCTTCGCGAAATGTGTAAATTATGCTCCCATACTGCTTTGCGGTCGTATCGCGCACACCGCCTGGTGTCTTACTATAAGAACAAATTTGAGTAAGATATTATCATATTGAGCATTATATAGGTATTGAATTTTATAGATGCTGCATTATAGACATTGAGTTTTATACGAATGGATTTACCAGGTGCTTTTATATAAGCGCCCTAGCCTATTCATGAGGAAAATACAAAAGAAATCACTGCACCTTGTCGGTGATTTTATATGTGATGAAAAGTCATGTTCATTTACATATATAAACTTTAGCTTTGACTTGCTCGGCTTCAGGACAACGTCCTGATGGGTCAGATAGGTCGTTTTTTAAGCCATTTAAAACATTCGCAGTTCGTGCTTTAAGGCCCTATCACACTATTGCGTACGAGAGAAACGTATGACAAGCGTATGAAAATTAATGAAATAATTTTCATACGCACAAAAATCCTTTGAAATACCAGCGTATGAGTACCGTACATCTGGCGTACCTCTAGCGTATTCAGCGTGTGCCTAGAGTATGCTTATCGTATAAAGCCATACGTCCGATACGCGCAAAATTTTTGAACATGCTTAAAAGAAAAATTCTGCCTCGCCGTATGCCAGCGTATGCCACCGTATGCGACCGTGCTTGAAACGTATACAACCTATGCCTAACGTACCCCTAGCGTATGTGAG